TACTGTTATATACTGTTTATTGGAATAAACAGTATATAAAGCAGCATGCCTCCAACCACAATATTAGAAGAAAATCAAACTTGAGAAATTTGTGCCATTTGTGCCAAAAAAATCTCCCTTTGCGTTATTTAGATATACCGGTTCAATCGGTCATATAATATGTTTGTTTGTTTTGAACATTGTACGCCTTTTCCCAACAGCATTTTAGTCATATAGGCACCATCGTTCCTGGAGTTACACCAGAACTAGACAACCTTCCTCCGCGCTAAACTAACAAAAAAGCATCTCCCGGGGAACGAACCCACGCCAGAGAGTTTACTAGATTAAAAGTCATCGACTCTAACCCCTCGAACACGGAGGCGGTATATATTGTGCATGGTGATATCGTAGCTATAATGTTCACTGTTACTATTTATCAGAACATGAAATAGTAAAACGTTATTCAGAAAACAATACGGTAATCGATTTATACAGTTACGGAATGAAGCGTCCATGCACGTAGTGTTAAGTAACGTAAATGATATTTTCCGATTTTTCTATGTACCGATTTGTTCACTTCGATGTTAATTTTTCGTTTAAGTTAAGCCGTGTTTTGAAACGGGGCATGCGCAAAACAATTTTTGTAGACTGCTCCTAATGATTTTACGCTTAAAATGAGATTCGTTCACTGCAATCAGATACGCAAAAAATGGATGCCGCCAGCAATCAGACTGAACACTATGGAGAGGTCTGATGACCTCCCCAATAAGAAAGATATGAACTCCAATTAAAAATCAATAATGAAACATTGTTCATCCTAAACACATGTCATTTTTGACAATTGCAATGGACAACTGTAGTATTCATTGTTTAATGCTCATATTAGTTATAAGTAACAAATAAATAAACGTAAACTTAATTAAAAAATATAAGAGGGATTATGTAAATAAGAACACTAATTTTAGTTCAAACATAATCATTTGGTACCAAAGAGCAATATGATCCTAAAAGCTTGATTATGGCCTACCAAGCTGCTATCAAAACTCTATAAAATTTACCGATTTAAGCCATTTAACACTTAAATAGGAGTGGAACTAATGATTTGAACTGGTGTGTTAAATAAAATCATCACAAAGAGACCAGCCTTAACAACCAATTAAATTCACGAGAATACGAGAAAGCACCTGCTTCACATAAAGGGTGTAGGTCAGTTTAAACAAGCAGAAATATCTTTTGTTTTGCTTACAGTTACGATCTTTTTTCCTTTATATTGTGTGAATAAGGTATTTCTTTGTGTATCAGGCTAAAAATACTGTAACAAAATGTTTTATAAATATTATCCAACCAAGTTAAGTTCTTAACCCCCCCCCCCCGCGAGAATACACTTTAGTTTAGCCTACATTTTCATTAATGTCTTTATACACAATTGACCAGTGTCGTTTATTGTTGCCTAAATGCTATTTTTTAGGAAGAATTTAATTATAAACTAGCCCGAGACATGAAGACAGACTATCATCGTTGTTTTTAACAATTATAGTATTCTCAGTTGGATTACTAGCAGTAATTGTTAAACAATACAAAATGAAGCACACATAATGTATTATTTTACAAATCACAAACATTTTACCACACATATCAATTTCACAGCATCTTATCAACATCGCAAAACAACTTAAAACCAAAACAATCAATATATGCACGTATCTTCACAAACAAAGCATCAACTATGAAAATCATCACGAAACAAATTTCCCATATATTACTCAACCAATATCAACCAAATATATTGAAATTATAACCAAATATATGGCAACAGCATCAATTTAATATTATTCAATGGAAGTGATCGCATCCTTTGGTATTTAGAATAGAACGAAATACTAGCTTTCGGACAGGTTGCCATGAACAGCGGTTTACAAATCATTATCCATCTTGTCTGCTTAGACAAGTACAAATGTTGCTGCAATGCAGCAATTGAGAAGCTCCGCGCAAAAGAATGCGCTCATTACAGATACCTTGCTAAAGCATTCCTGTGCACAAGTTATTTTCTATTTAGATTAAGTACTAGTGTACATTATCAAAGGACATCCAAGCAAGAAATGCAGCAAGTGACGATGACCTAGTAGGCATCATGCATTTTTTAATGTCTGAGAGTTAAAATACAATAGCAATATTCTAAGTCCCAGATAAATACTGGAAGAAGTCCACACACTGGAATGAAAAATTGTAATGAATTTCAAAAAGACCAAATTCAGGATTTTTTTTGTTATACGCGTTGACAACATTAAAATCATAAATAAATTTGCATGGCATGTTGATATAGTGAAACATTATTTATCAATTGAAGACTGTTACTTGAATTTCATACAGATGTGAGGAAATTCACTAACATCATGTTATGCGAGTCAAAGATATAAAGCTTTATGAAAAGTGCAATTTATGGTTTAAATGTTTGCATTTCATTTCCTGCAAAACTCTCCAGGTCGTTATTTATAACCATAACGCGAAACAAATGATCGTTATTTCACAATGTGAAGGTCATATCTATTTATAGCTTTCATGTACAGCAATAAATATACATAACCCACTGTGTACTACAACATAATAAGTAATTTCTTGTAGAAGATACAAATGTAAGAAATAAATGACCAAATTTAAAGTTTATTTTTTCTTTAATACTGCTTTTATATATGAAATTTGTTACCGTTCTCATTCAATTAATATGACATACTGCGAATCACCGAATGGGAAACCAATATATGACTTTACATAATAGAAATCGATAGGAATTATTGGATCCGAATTTATTTATAGCTGTAAATGATAAAAATCGGGTCCATGGACAAACATATTCAACACAAAAAGCTCTGCGCCAGTGGGCGCGTAGCAATGAACAACACTTGGTATCAATGTTTCCAATCTCAAAGAAGCTTATGGTACAAAATGAAAACAATGTTTCCTTTGAGATCTCAATGATGCAGAATCAATTAATGAAATACTTCCTATCTTAATTTACGTCTTTCTTGCCCATAAAAACTTTAAAATACGACTTGGTTCAATTTTATCTTAGAACCTAAAACAAGAACACCGTGTTCCTCTGGGTAGTATACTTTCTGTTTAATTAACAATATTACCAAAGCTCTTAATTATTGAGAGAAGCTTGTCGATTTTCTCATATGTTTACAATCAAAAGTTATGCGGACAATCGTACGTCAGCTTCAACAAAATTAAGATACAATTGAAAAATGGGCAACAGAAAAAGGGTTGTTTTAAATTAACACCACAATGACCCTGAACTCTACAAAAGGCCTGATCATATTGAAATTAAATATTGGTTCGATAGTTTACGTTCGGCAAGGAAATCGCATCATCAAAGCCTACGTTTAGCATAAGGCGCATTTTGATCATTTACAGTTGTAAGTCTTAGTGCTGAAGCAGGAGAAACCTTCATTAATTTACGTCGAAAAAAACTTCTCTTCCGTTTGCAGCTAGAGTATCATCAAATAGTATAAACCCGTTGGAAAAGTATCTTAACAATATCATAGAGACATATTTTAACAACACAAAGGAAACCTTCGATTAAGTAATAGTTAAGAAAATACTTAAAACAGACCAAACTTTTTCTTCAAACTGTCAAATAAGATATTCCTCCGTGGACGTACAAATATCTAGCATTAGCTCATAACTAAAGATAAAATCATGTCCAAAAATTAAATAAAAACCCCCCAAGAAACACCCCTTCCCCAAAAAAATAATTGATTTAAATAAAGAAATAAATAGATAAATAAAAGAATTATAATAAAAACATCATCTAAACATCATCTAAACAGATCCATCAGACATTTGCGAGGAATTTTAACATTTTTAGAAACATTGAAAACGCTTTTAAGAAAGAAAGTTAAATCCACGAAGAAAAGACACAATTTTATGTTTTTCACCCCTATGTTTTGTTAGAATCCATTTATGATATAAACAGTTTCAAAGCATAGGAAAATTGTAAACTACAATTCTAGCCACACATTGATGTAAAAGCACAAACACTTGGATAGTCAAATACTGTAATTTGTATTCCTCGATGTTTCTGTTTTTAAAATTTCATATAAGCATAATACACATCATTATTTGTGTATAATAAATCTTATTTTCTCTGAACTTGACATGATCAACTAGTTTAAATCAGCCAAACCTGAGCGAGAGTTTGTAAAAGTTATAATTGTGACTCTGAGGATTCATGTTTATAGTATAGGCCTACATTTTTATAACACTCAGTTAAAAGCTATTTGAATGGAATTGTTTACGATTGATTTTTGTACATACACATCACCCAATCTGCAGACAAGTAGATTCATAGAAAGAATTCGTTGTTCCCCTTCATTTAAAACTACTCATCACGCATTATTAATCTTCAAGTAAATTTTCAGCCTTTTGGGACATTGATCAAAATATTAAACTTGTATACTACATCCTAAGAGTTTTTATTGAAAGGTCTGACGGTCTGTTATGTAGAAATTTTATCTACTCGTGCTACATTGATGCACGTTTAAACTCTATTATTTGTTAGACAAATAAATTATCTAACTGCTGCTTATTGTGTAATCATGTGTATTTAACTTCGACTGCTCAGTTGGTGAAATATTTTTATCATCTATTAATTATTAATTAGTTATTTAGTAATTTATCATCTTAACAAAGACAAGCCATGCATCTTCGTCTGACCTTTATCAGTCTACTATCATTACAAGAGATATCAATATCAACACCTGAGAGAAAAATAAAATATGAGCCATGGTTTAAGTAGTTCTGCTACCGTTTCTACAAAATATTGAGAGATTTTCCCCTGCCCATTTCGATAGACCGACGCAATAACATCAAACTTGAGAAATAGAAATGGATGAGGATGTTATGTTTCTCAGAGAATATCTTTAAAGAATGTCTTATAAAATGAAAAAAAAAACAAAAAAAACAAAAACATAAAGTCATTTTCTCTATAATATGTTTTTTAAAGACATGTTTGTCAACACACGCAACATTATGTATGCTAATTATGATGTTTACTTACTGTGGATAATTCAGCATCTTGCAAACCACCTTTGCTGACAGCTCAGTAAAACGATCATCGCATACTGTCCCCCAAGTGTTATCATGCCATACTTCAAGTCTCCCTTCATACTTATTTGACCCGTCAACCAATCGAACTATCGAGAATAGAATTAATATTTTAAAACAATAATGATTATATATTTGATATTTTGCACATGTGGAATGTTGACCATGCTTATTGAACAGATTTCTTGTAGCCACCGGGCTAATAACAAACAAAAATACAAAAAATAAAAACAAACAAAATACAACACTTACTATTAGAAATTATTCTTAATCTACTGATGTATTTCATGCATTCGTCACGGACAATGCATGTTTTCTGATTCTTATCCTTAGACAATATAAATATGAACATGAACTTGTACATTTTTGACAGGATCAAGATTATTTGGACAGACGGAATGACAGATAGACGGACGGATGGATGAATCTAAAAATGAAAATAACATGAAATTTTAATTTATCCATATAGCCCTTTATCTACATTGCAATCTTTGCATTATGGTACAATTGTTCATTTTTTTCATCATTTTCATAACCATGGAACCAGCAATGGACTTATTATCATCATACGGGCCTCTGTTTACGTACCTAGTATTAACAACCTAGCTAGCTTTTGAACATTTTGTTTTAAATTATTAGTCAAGACTTCTTACGCGGAAAAACGTCCGGACAAACTACGAGCGGAGGGTCAGCCTATAGTACCAATCCGGCGGAACCAAGACATTGATAACTTCAGTCTAATTCATGAAATAATCTTTATGTTTTCCTTGGCAGACACTTACACATTTACATACTTCTTGAAAATGCCATTAGCTCTTACACTCATATCATTGGCATATCGAAAATATGTATATTCGGTATACCCACACATTCTTGTCTTTCAATAAAAAAGTAAATATTTAATTGTTTCAAGATGTTTACGTGTCAGAAATGACTGTGTAATGTCCCTCCATGATACTAAAGGAAGAAATGTACTGTAAACATTCAGGAAATGGATGAAGCCTGTAGAACTAACTTTAGACTTTGGAATATTCCAATGTCGTTATCATGAAGCAACAAACATTTTTATTACTAACCGAACTTATTTTTATTATTTGCTTTTTAAGTTACAAAAGAAAAAGTTAACTCACTGGAGTGAATTCAAATCGATCGTGGTTCGAAACCTCGTTCAATCTTATTTTTTTTTTACATTTAATCTTTAAATGTTCTTTCAAATACTTTTTTCGATTTTTTTAGGAATTAAATGGATTATTTGAATCATTTTGAGTACCTGCCGAGCAGAGTCCTACATCAACAGAGGTTGATATTCCTGAAGATCTGAGCCAGGAGTTTGAAATCAGTGACAGTGACCAAGAACAATCTGACACAGAACAGGTAGTGATCATGAATGAAAGGATTGAAGAAGTGATTAGAAATTATGACACTGTAAATTCCAGAGAATCAGACTCAGACAGAGACACTGATAACGCATCATGTAACAGAGCCAGTAATGTTTGTACGTGTAAAGTTGATTGCCTTCTCCAGTTTGACAAAACTAGTGTTGACAGTCACATACTTTCTATGAGAGAGATTGACAGAAATGAAGCAGAGATGTTCATTACTGGGAGTGTACATCAAATTGCTACTGACGAAACTCTTAAAGGGAAACGCCGGAAAACGGACTCGTTTTAGATACGCTTTTCATGGTAAACCTATCTGTAAGAAGGCATTCATGTATGTAAATGATATCGGATCAAAAGCTCTCCGAAACCTACTTGATCACTTTACTACCAATGCGCAATACCACGTACCCACGTAACAGTGGAAGAAACACCACACATGCCCTCGGTTACAATGAGATACGGTTTTGTGTAGACTGATTTTATGGTATGCTGATATCAATGGTTTACCTATGCCTGCAGCACCCAGGGGCCGTGACGGGGAAGCCCCTATTCTTCTCCCGTCGAACCTTACAAAAGCTTCACTACACAGTCAATATTGTCAGGCATGTGAGGAGACAGATGTACGGAAGCTCGGAGTGTCATCATTCAAAAATGTATGGAAAAATTGCATTCCACACATAAAGATAATGTCAACAAAAGATGACGTGTGTCATAAGTGTGAGCAGTTGCGACATAGTGTTATGGATGCTGTGACGGAGCAAGCAAAACTTGATGCAGCACATTGTCTCCGGGAGCATGTGCAGGTATTCTATATTGCTAATTGTTATCTTGTATTTTTCAAAGTAGCTTTTTATTTTCCCTTTGTTACATCTCATTTAAGTAATACCGTAGGCATAAAAATCATAGATATTTTATATACATGTACATCTTGGACAAACCACAATATATGTTTAACCTTAATGTTTTAGGATGCTCAAACAGAACGTCAGGCGTACATGACAGCGGTTATTCAAGCGAGAGAAGTGATGGTAGGTTACACCCGACCGACAATACCCGTTGCACCAATTTCAACAGAGTTCAGTAAGGTATGCATATGACAGTTATGGTATAAGCTTTAAAGATCTTTTACAGGTTATATGACCATATATATAAAAGGTTGTTGTATATATAACCGAGCCGTAAGGCAATTGCATATTACCGTTTACATTCATTGAGAATTAATTTTTATTACGAATTTATAATAATGCAAACTTTCTTTATTATTAGAAGTAAAATGAAATAAATATATAAATCGATTGCAGCAGTGCATACAGATTATATTAATGTAACGATTATCCGTTGAAAAAATGACGTTATAAACGTGCAATATTATAATTATTTGTGCAAATAACATATTGAGAGTGCAATAGTCTGAAGGCTCCTGTCTTTATATTTGATAATTAAAAAAAAATGGATTTAACATACAAAACTGCATGGTTTTTAAATTAACAATTTAGAAAAAGCATATGTGATTCATATTGGTAAACTTAGATTAGTCAGAATATTAGTAAATAAAGTCATCATTAGAATAGTCAACATACATGTATAATATAAAAAATGCTTAGTATTTTATTGATTAATATTTTGGTCAATTGATCAGGTTCATATCACTTTTGACTACAGTCAGAGTGTGACAATCCCTCATCACAGTCGACAGATGGGACCCATGTACTTTGTAACAGGCAGGAAAATAAATATGTTCGGTATCCGCATTGACTCTACAAGTGAGCAGTTCAACTACTTAATAGATGAAGATCAGTCTATAGGTATGTTAACTATTAACCAAATTTACTTTGAAACGTATATCATGACAGATGTGGGTTATCTCATGCACGTGCAGGCATATTGTCGTCCTCCCGAAATATAATTATGATCCTTGCATTAATGAGTTTTACACTACGCTATATTATTGCCATTTTTATTAATTGATATAAAACTGTATTTCATATAAATTATTGTCACCTTACAGGTTAAGATGGAACTGGGACACATGGACCAAATTCAGTATTAAGCATGCTCCATCATTGCTTACAGAATTACGGATTTGGCGAGAAAGGACTTTATCTTCATGCAGATAATTGCGGAGGTAAATCTTGTTTTCACATTAACTTATGAATAAAAATATTCAGCATATTCATTGATTAATAATACTCAAAAGTAATATAAAGTTATTTCGTTCCTTTTTTCTTGTTAACAGGTCAAAAATAAGAATAGATACACACTGGCGTATCTTTGTTGGAGAATAAACAGAGGGTTACATGAACACATTCAATTGAATATGGCTATTCCCGGGCATACAAAGTAAGTACCTTGATATATTTATACATAGCATCGTTGCGGCAATTATTCGTAAGCGTTGGTTATGTTACTAAAGTAATAAAAATCCTTATGTTTCGTCACAAAATTAAATAAAATCCTCATATTTTATTCAGATATAAGTGAACACATAGTTAAGTAACAGCCTACTCAAAAATATGTGACGAAGTGGATTTTACTACTACAGTGTTTTTATGGTTATGTGATGACTAATTTGTTTGTACTGTCATTCTTTAATTCTTGTACTTTATTTTTATCTAAGGTGTCTTGTCGATGGTGGCTTCGGGCGAATTAAAAAGCTATTCAAGAGGTCTGATTGCGAGAGTCTGAGTCAATTTGCAGACATTGTGGATAAATCGGCAAGGCACAATTTCCTTGTTTTATATCGAAATGAAAACAATGATCAAACATGGAAATGGTAATTAATTTTAACAGTTTAAACAGATTTTCGATAACTAGTTAATAATATAATGTAGGCTTAAACATTATAACAAGCATGCATAATAAAGATTATCATTATCACAGCCACGCCGATCGCTAGCAATACACATACATAGTAGCAACAAACAAAAACGCTATTTATTTTAAATGCAACAGAAGAAAAGAAATGCAATACCTAAAATCTTTTTTCACAAAGATGGTATATTTTTCAATAAGAATATACGTTATATTATTAACTGCATTTAATAAAATAACATTATTTTAACACAGGTATGACTGGAAGTCGTATTTGACGCGATATTTCCTACAAGTGAAAGGCATACAGAAATATCACAGCTTCAGATTTTCTGCTGCAGACAAGTCGGTTGTGTTTGTAAAGGAAAGAACAGATAGCGAGGAGATTAGAGTTGCGCTGATAAGACGTAATACTGAAGTTCTAACAACAACCTTTCCCGAGGTCATACAGCCCGCAGGATTAAGTCGTACACGGCGCGAATATTTATACCGTAACGTTAGAAAATATGTGCGTCCTGCATACCAAGATGCCGCGTGCCCGGCATACACTGAAGAGTGATTCACGCTGCATGCGTAAAGACTAAGTGATGAATAGTGTAAATGTTTTCAAGTTCAGTTGTTACCATTTTTTATAATTAAAGTTTTGCTTTTAACATTCTAAGGTTATGACACCAGGGGCCAAGTCTTATAATTATAAAATGTAATTGTTTTACATGTTTTATTCAAGAATACGATAATTTTGAAAATAGTGTTATAAAATAGTTTTTAAATTATATTTTAATATCTTACTTTTATATATTTTAGTATTATTCTAGTAAGTGCAAAATTAAAACTTTTGAAACACTTGACTTCATTTGTTATCTGCTAAACTACATTTGACGTCGTCATAATTATTATGACGTTACGTAAATCTGTCATTGACGTTTCATTAATGTCCTCTTTTAAACCTCTATATCTCAAAAAGTATTTGCAATATCAATGTGAAATAAAGTGCATCGTGCACAATAATGCATGTCCTAAAATATTAGCCATAAAACTAAAAATCGATAAAAAATGCCCGAGTGCCCTTATCTCGTGGCGGCGGTCAGATGTTATAAGCTCATGTAAGTGATTTAAATTTATTTTAAATTTCAGTTTACGTTGGCATATATCGACATATCCTGGAACAAGACAACTGGTATTCTATAGTACAGCTATTGAAGTGTGTGTTAACACCCAACACCAGTTATTACACGTAAACACCACATGATAATTATTGACACTTTATTACATGTATGACCTCACAATATGCATTCAAACAAATACAATACTCAAGACGTTACTAAGGGAGTACCGGTTGATGACGTCACGACGTCAAAATGATGTCACATGTTATAAAAGAAGAATATTCTTATTTACACAATAGTACATGACACTAACAGTGTAAAGCTGAATTTATTTTGAATACATGAAATACATGAAAATACATGAAAGTAACATGACTTAAGGATAGAAATGTGTAGATAAAATCAGATATAGAAAAGGATATAGCTCCTTACTTATTTGTTAACCTTAACTTGAAATTAATTAAAAAGTAAAAAAAAGAAAATATTACGATGCATTTCTATTAGAAGAGCATAAAACAGTGTTTATAATCAAGAATTTCTGAATACTTTCTAGTAAGTTAATAAGTATACATGTTGATACTACATTAGTATTATAGTTAAGCATTTAAGCTGTAGACATTTTTTAAAAGGCGTACATATTTGAAAATATCATTGTTAAGGCCATAAAAAGTTCTCGTGACTTACTCGTTCTTCAGACCGAAACTAATTTCTAAAGAAATTGAAGAGTTGTGAAATTGCCATCATGTGGTTTTAAAGGACATGTATTGAAAACAAATAGGATAACGATGACTGACAGACACTCACAAAAACTCGCCACCAGACCACTAAATATGGTTAAGTGAGCTAAACGTGTTAAAAAATTTTACCCAGTTTCGAATATCAAACTTTTGAAATGTTTTTTTTTTTCAATCTAGACTATTGTGTTTATTCAATTTTTTGCATCCCAAAGGTCCGTGACACATATTATAGACAGTTCATTTTTACACAAGTACATAATAATTCAAATATATATAACCGGTAGATTTATAGTTTTACATAACATGAAATTGTTTACAAATACTCTAGTCACTTGATATTTCTAAATATAAACGACATAGGTCTGAGCTCCCGGTGCTCGTCAAGCTTTCTGCATTTTTATGAATATGATTAAATAAATTCCGTATATTTCATATAACTGTTTATGTGTATGAAAATAATCAGATTGACTTCCTCTATGATGGTGTCATCCCAGAAAATTTAAGTTTAATTACTTAAGAAACGAACGAAAAACAGGCAAATGAAAACTAACGACCATGTGGTTAAAGTATGCAATTAGAGATTCCTGGGTAGAGCGACACTATTTATGCGTTTAAACCACGAAGACTATTTTAATAAAGGCGATTAAAGTAGGTTAAGGTCGTCTTTGTTTACTTTTTATTTATAATTATTAGAAAGATTACCTGGTGTGCATGATATCCCAACATCTTCACCAAGACCACAATTATTTACTCCGCAACTTCCATGTGGACATTGAGGTAGGCTTATTTCAGTTCCAATACATTTAACATCGTCTAAGTGTATTGGTAATGTTCCGGTGCCAAATTGTGCAGATCCGGTTACCCGAGCATCAGTCCTGAAATGAACATTATCTTTTCAACAAAACGTGTATCTGTTTACGCTAAATGGTGACGTTTTCTTTTTATATCTTCATAAAGATTACCTGGTGTGCATGATGCCAACATCTTCCCCATGACCATTATTATTTGTTCCCCAACTTCTGTGTGAACATTGAGATAAGCTTGTTTCAGTTCCAATACATTTAACAGCGCCTAAGTCTATTGGTAATGTTCCGGTGCTAAAGTGTGCGGAACAAAATACCAAAGGGTCAGTACTTCAACATATAATTATCTTTTTTTTCCATCATGATATACATGGAATCACTCTATCTCTTATATCTCAACGTGCTTGTCACGGAAAATAAAAACATATCTTTTGAGAATCAAAAGTTCAGAAATCTTAGATTTTAAGTATTAAAAATGTTTAAGTATTTTTCCAGTAACAAAAAAGTTAGACAAAATTCACTGATAAACAATGTCGAATACTAGTATTTTTATACACACTTAATGTGATGTTTTGCAATTATTGGTCTCCTTACAACTGTATCACAGGTGAGATATTTTTGTATACACATTTACGTCAAAATATGAAAGTAAATGCCTCTTTTCCTTGTTTGATAAAAATGCTAAAATATCACATTGGATGTGCTTATTTATTCAAGCTGCATTACATACTATGAAGTTTTTGTAGATATCATTTGGGCAACGCTACATGCATGCAAATATCTAACTATGAAAATTAAAGTTTTAAAACAATAAGATTGAATTTTATGTTTTTAAGTATTCTGCCCGAAATTATTTTTTAGAAAGAGTGCTTCCTTGTATGTCATAAAGTGTTTATAAATGTGGCTAAACCAAAGTTGTTTCCAAAGTTGGAATTAATTTAATCACTTTCTCAAGGACCATAAATAATATTGCTTGCCAATATGTATGTTCTGAGCAATGCAATGTCTTAGGAGAAGCCTTTTAGACATGTTAAATATATATATAAGTTTACAAAAACTAAGTGACCCCTAAGATGGTGTCCTTTTTTGACCCCACTGGCATTATTTAAATGAGTTTTGTAGGACACTTAAAGGACATAAGAAGTAAATGCAACATGTAACATATTTAAACTATGGACATTGTAGTTTTACACAAAACATTAAAGACACAAGTCTTTGTAAACTTAGTGAACCTTAGAGGAGACCATTCTGGACTAGGGACATAATTTAATGTAAGTTCCGTAAGGTATGCTTTGCAATGCAATATGCCAAATCTTTATTCTCTGGAAATATCAGCTACCTTACAAGAACGGACTTGACTGACTTATAAGATTATTCAATTCGGACTGGTACCTCGTATGCATGGCCCGCATGCAAGAGCATTCTTTCCAGTTTTTTCACAAACTAATTTGAAATGAAATTTAGCCAAAAAGCGGTTTCTTTTTCAAATTTGTATAATAATCAGACACCCCAAACATATGAAAAATACATTTATTTACATTCTTACACAAAGTTCAAACTAAATATATATGTGTCCCAGGGTAACCTGAAATAGTCAGTTTCACATTAAACCAGTTTGTAATGTTCAGGCCTCCATGACACTTAAATGTGACAGAAACAACTAAAAAGGGTACTAGGGTGCGCGAGCACTCAGGACCAAGAAACGACTTGAACGGCGGAGCCCTTTGCTAGCACAAATAGCCTTTTTCATGGATAATATCTTTCATTATTGACACCGATTACTTGTTAAGGAGCTCAGTGACCGTGGAAAAGATACCAATTTCGGCTCAAAATTCATTTATTTGGCGTATACTATGTGGAAATTACACGGAACTTTATGCTTCTGTCACAGGGTAAAATATTTCTGGTGGAACAGAAACAAACTCTGGGCGTTGGTTCGATGTTTTTAATGAATCCATGTAAAAATGGTCTAAAAATATAATAAAAAAATTATACATCTTACAAGTACAATACATATAAAAACAATATATACATAATCGACGCGGAATAAGTAAATACATAAATACGATATACAATCAATATCTTAATCTTAATACTATTTCTAACCACAGCGTCTGTAATTTATATTTACTTATAAGAATTAAACTATTTCAATATAAATTGAAATAAGTAAAGTAAATGTAGATCTAATGTTATATAAATTAACTTTAGTTTTACTATGTCTGACTCGTAAGAGATGACTGTAAAGAGTGAGCGGGACAGGAAAAGTAAACAGTGCGCAGAAGTAAAAAAATATTTAAAAGAACCAATGGATATCTCTCTCACATAGAATCATATATAACAAACACAACAATTGGGTAAGTACAACAAAGAACGAATGACCAGTGTTCACGATATTGCACGGATGAGATCGACAATGTACATCATCGACGGAAATTGTCGATTTTCACCGATTCAATACCGGAAGTTAAATTTATCCGATAAAAACTAAACAAAACCGAATAAAAACGCGCGTGCACAATGTTTCCGCTTAAACAAAACTATGGAAATCCACGGCTGCCATTACCATATAATTTCAATCTGTGACACTTCAAACTTTATTTATTAAAGGCATGAATGGTGACAGGTCTGTACCCGACAGAGTAAACTGCTATTTGTGCTTAAACGGGCGGTGGACACAAAAAAGACAAATTTGAATATGTAGCAGGCACTTTGTATGGAATCTGCTTAAGAGGGTGCTAGATGGCATAGACGGTAATTTGCACTTTCCAGTACCGTGCATGAAAATGCTTAATCAAATCACGCCTGAAACATTTTCAATATTGCCGTTTTGAACTTTCTTTAGAGATTCTATTTCTGTCTTATTTATTAAACCATTTTACAGTTGAAAAATATTCTTTCTTCTTTTGATTACATCTAAAGGACGAACTGTGCGATTCTATAATGGATAGTTCTTTAAACTGATCGGGACTGAATCATTTCAATTTCTGTCTTTTGTCTTGCTTCGTCAGACCTTTGTAGTTGCAGCTCTGTGTTCCATTAAGACATTTATTACTTTTGCTTTGATTATTGGACTTACTTTGTATTTGTATCTACACAAACATTTATGTGTTTTGCTTATTTCATCTTGTGACCTTAATAACTATCAGAGTATAGATTGGCGGGGATTCATCTTATGTATATAGTCCTGCAGAAAATATTCAAATTATGTTGTCTTCTAAATGCACTTTATAAGTTCTTGAATGACTTTGTTCTGATATAACTCTTAATGAATACGATCTAAGATCAGAGTCATTTCCTTCATTTCCATATACATGATCCATGTAACCATTTTTGGTATTTCACATCTCATATATTTGTTGACTAGTTATTGACCGAAATATGTCTTCTTAGTTTAATGTTCCTAATTAAAATGATTTGAGTGTAAGCCAAAGTAGCATCTGTTCTAGTTTCGACGAAAGTTTGTGTGTGTGTGGACTATCGGTTTATGATCTGAAACTTCTTAAAAAGTAAGTCCAAACAAAAATAAGTATGAAACTTATCTTAATATAAAATCAAGGGATGAAACCACTAGTGACGCATGTTTAACTTTTCAATTATTCCAGAATTGACATCTGACTTTCTGTTATATTTTAAATGGCAGGGCAATGTGTAGCTGTAATTCTCTAAGGTTTCCAAATCACAAACTATGACAAAATATTTTTCTATGTTGTAATAACCTTATTTACACTACATTATCTTATAGTTATCCTATACCAATTGCAGTTGAAAGTGGTGTACAGTATAAATCAAGGATGAGAATTTTAGTTTTTATATATTTATTATGTCTGCATTAAGTTTGTCGATGTCTAACTACTAAAGGGATTTCAGCCAGATTTTACAAGAGTGATCAGTAGTATCCCTAATTGTGCACGTCAATGGCATGTTTTGCTTCGCTGCACACAATTGCAACCAGAGCTATAAATAGAACAATCTTGTCCGGGCTTTACAAGTTAAACTACCGGTGGGATTTCAACTAAACTTAATCAGAGTGATCGGTACCATCCCTAGTTGTGCTCATCGCCGGCATGTCCCGCTTCGCTGCACAAAATGGCTGCCAGAGCTTTAAATAGAAAAATCTTGTTCGGTCGTCACTGGTAGGATTTCAACCAAAATTTACAGGAGTGATCAGTACTATTCCTAGTTGTTCACATCACTGGCACGTTCCGCTTCGCTGCAAAAAATTGCCGCCAGTGCTAAAAATAGAAAAATCTTGTCAGGCCGTCAATGGTCAAACTTCTACTGGTAGGATTTCAACCAAATTTTACAGGAGTGATCACTACTATTCCTAGTTGTTCACATCAATGGTACGTTCCGCTTCGCTACAAAAAATGGCCACCAGTGCTAAAAATAGAAAAATCTTGTCCAGGCTTTACAAGTCAAACTACTGGTGCGATTTCAACCAAACTTTACAGGAGTAATCACTACCATCCCTCGTTGTAAACATCACTGGCACGTTACACTACGATACACAAAATGGCCGCCTGAGCTAAAAATAGAAAATTTTTTGTCCGGCCTACATTGGTCAAACTACTGGTTGGATTCAACCAAACTTTACAGGAGTGATCAGTACCATATTTAGTTGTGCACAATACCGGCACGTTCCGCTTCGCTGCACACATGAAATCTTGTCAAGCCTTTACAAGTCAAACTACTGGTGGTATTTCAACTAAACTTAACAGGATCAATCACAACCATCCCTTGTTGTGAACAGTACTTGCACGTTCCGCTTCGCTGCACAAAATGGCCACCAGAGCTTAAAATGAAAAAATCTTGTCCGGCATAGACAGGTAAAGCTACTGGTGGGATTTCAACGAAACTTCACAAGAGTGATCATTAACATCCGCAGTTGTGTTACAACTATCTCCGGCATTTTCTGCAGTGCTGCATAAAATGTCAGCAAGAAATAAAAATAAAAAAACATCTTGTTGTGCTTTCAAAAATCAAGCTTCTGGTGGGATTTCAATGAAACTTCACATAAGCGACCTTAAATAGTTTTGGGAGACATACGATTTTGTGACAAAAACCCTTCT